ATCAAATAGCATAGAAAAATAGAACATTCTTTTCTCTATCAGACTATATAAAAAGAAAGTTTCTTTAACCTTTCTATAAGGGATAAAAATACCACTGCCACTACTTTTGGTATGCCCTAAGTAATAAAAGAAAAAGAAAGATGGCTCTATAATTTTTTCCAGTACGTTCCAGTACTGTATTTTTTCAACAATTATTTGACTATTATTGATATCATTCTAAGCGACAGAGAATTCATTTTATTTAAGAGTAACTCTAAAAAGTACGGGATAAAGCATTTAATATCTGGTTCAACATTTTACTCACTTTTATTGATTTATTCATTTTTGGAAGTCAATAATCGTCGTGAATTAAATCTGCGTTTGAATATAAACCTCTGCTAGCCGATTTGATACAACCACAAGCAATTGAACTTGGTAATATCGTTGAACATTCATATTCTACATAAAAGACACAAAAGATTATTGACACTAGTGCGCTTAATGAGTAATGTCTCTTCGTCTACTTACCACATGCACATAAACATAGCAAAATCTCTACATATTGCTTTAGTTTAAGTTGGTGCATCTCGGTAAACGGTAATTTTTCGAATATTAAATTGACATAGTCATACGGAATAAAGCAACACTCTGTCCTTGCGGAAGAAAGCTTGAAATCGTTATGAAGAAACATCAAGTTTTTGAGGCAAGTTCTTGGCGAAAAAAGATGAAGTTCTCCTCTACACGAACTTCTTGAGGAGAACGAATGAAGTTCTTGTGAAGAAACACCAACTTCTTTAGAGAACACTTCTTTAAAAAACAGTTCTTCGCTAAAAGCACCAAATTCTGGAAGAAAGGCGATAGACTTCTCCCGTAAAAACATCTGGTTTTTCAGGAAAAACGATGAAGTTCTTCTCTAATGGACCAAGTTCAAATATGAAACCGTGTTGAAGAAGCCGAAGTTTTTCAGGAAAGTTTTTCACCACGTTTAAGAGGAAGAACGATGAAATTCTGGGCAAGAAACATCTGATCGTTTTTCTTCAGGAAAAACCATGAAATTCTTCTATAAAAACACCAACTTCTTTAGAAAAAGTTATGGAGGAAAGTCGATGAAGTTCTCCTGGAAAAGCACCTGTTTTTTCAGGAAATGCGATGAAGTTCTTCGGTAGAAAAATCAAGTTCTACAGGAAGAAAGATGAGATTCTTGTAGGAAACATCCAGTTCTTCTAGACGAGCACGAGGCCGATTTGTTCGGTCAACAGTTTGGACCTCATGGGTCCCTGTTTAGTCTTTTCTTTCCACTAAAATAGACAGACGAAAGGGATAGAGAAATTTTTTTGGATATTTTACCCTAGTCAGCTCAGATTAAGGACATATGTGAAAATCTCTCAAGAGTCAACAAAAACCACTCATAGTTTTTTGTGTTGTTTCCTAAATACATTTCTAGCATTTAGATTTCGTTGTTTACTTTCACTAGTCGTCTTACATTAATTGGAAAAAACGGTTTTCCTCATCTTGGTTCAATCCACTGTTTAATAGTGGATTTCTGTTGCGGACTTATTTGCTTGCATCAATTATAACCTACATTAGCTATGGTGTGTGCTGTTTCTGGTATTTTTCTTCTAGTCCAGAGCCATTCCACATAAAAATCTACTTTTACGTAAGTCCATAACGTTTTGTGAGATGGCAGTAGAGTCTCATGCTTTATATCCCGTTTTGCATCATAATATATCCCGATCGGGATATAGCCAAAAAATATATATCCCAATTGAGATATAGATTCGATTTTTTTTAGTAAAGTTCATCAGCGAAAAAATGATGATGTTCGCGGAAAGATTTGACCATACCACCGAAAAGAGCGGAAAAAACTGTATCAGATTCTTTTTTTCTTGTGACCAAGTCTTTTTTCCGGTCAGCAACCTTTTTTTAAATAATTCTCGAAGTTCTTATTCTATATCCCGATCAGGATATTCTACTTCCTTTACTAGCCATTTTAACACCTTCTTGAAATATATTGACATTTTCTTCTACTCTGGACATCCACAAAGGCAGGGACATGCAGTGAAATATTCAGGTAAAGTCATCCTCGTCAATCGCTACTGGTCGACTGACTATCGCATTGCAGTCGATGTTCGAACTCTGGATGAACCTTTCCCTAGTAGAATCCCCGCTTCATTGCGCGTCGCGAAGCCATAGTAATCTTGCCACAATCTTGCCGCGCAATATCCAATTTGAATCGCTATCGCGGACGCACATATTTGTGAATTTTTCGCGTTCCGCGCAAAATTCGCGATTGTGTCCGGAAACAGTTCGCTACAGGATCGCGATTGAGTTCGCGACAAGAGCGCGATTGAATTCGCGACAAGATCTCGATAGGATTGCGACAGGATCGTGATAAGACGGTAGCAAGATTGTGACTGAATATGCTTGTTTCGCCGCACGATCGCGATTCACATCGGCTGTTTCACGACTGGATCGTGTGCAAATGCTTATATCGAGGCAAAATCGTGACTTCACAGTGAACCACTTCAGGATGATGAATCTGTAATTGTTAGCACCGCTGAAAGCTCTAAAATGTGATCGAACTAACAGAAAATTCAGCAGCTTTTTGTTTCGTTTACCGTTTTTGCTCGCCAAGTTTTAGAAATCAAAGAGTTCTGTCTCATGCTTCTACGAGGTTTCGTATCAAATGAGCTACTGAAGCCTCTACTGTTTTGCTGACAACTTGGAGATGTAGACTAAATGCCGTTGCTTTAGTTCCATTAATATTATTTATTTTTTCATTATTTATTAATTCAATAAAACCAACGATATAAGAAAGCAGTTATGAAATATACAGCAGAGAAATACAAAGAGATTTTCAATAAAAAAAAACATAAACAGTTTGATGGCATTGATGATAATTGTTCATATGGTGTTGTGCTTGTTGTTTGGGATAACTTTCCTAAATGTAACATGATTAAGCTCTACACAATGTTTCTTCATTAAATTACTTCACTCGCTCGATATGTTCTTGATTCACCTACATACATACACAATGAAGAAGTCTTAAAATAAATGTAATCAAGTGTCGAAGATCGGATTTCGTCTAAATTTGCTGTAGAAAACCTAATAGTATCTGAAATCGCGAGTATTTTTATTCGCAGTTATTTACGTCAGTAAGTATAGTATGAAACGACTGAAAAAACTCTATTACATATAATTGTCGAACTCTTAATTGGGACCGCTAACACTACAAACTATGCTATATCCCATTTCAAACTCAGATTCACACTTGGTGTACTTCCCTCGTGAGTTGAATAATATAATGTTAAAACCGAACAAAAAAAATAACACCAATAACAAAACATCATTAGATATCTGCGTTTTAATAGCAAAATAGAAAAAAATAGCTCTATGCATCTGTTTAAAATAATCAAATGCTTAAAAGAAAAAGTACAAACGGTTTTTCTGTTACGCCATGTTTTCAATTACACTGATGCGCTGAACGAAATTCTGTACAACAAAACAAGTTTCTGAATTCTACAAGCACAATCCGATGACGTATTTTTAAACATGGCACAAGTAAGAATGAATCAGTTCTCTGTACATCTGGATATTGAATGTAGCATAATGTAAAAATATTGTCTAAATATCTTTTTAAAATATCATAATAAGGAAAATTTACAAAAAAGTCTGACATAGTTTGTTTTTCACAACGTTTTAATGATTGTACTATAGCATATGGTTGTTGATTAACTAGTAAAAAGCAAATGACCCATACAATGTTATTATCTGTTAAACTAACTAAATAGCTGCATGATGTTTTCCTTTTCTTATAAAAAAACGAATGATATGTAGTTATATTTTGATGATAACGTGTAAAAAATGAAATAGATGCTTTACTAATAGTTAATTTTTTATCTAATAATTTTTTTAATATTTCTATTTCATTTTTATCTACAACCATATTAGCACCATACGTATTAGTTTGACGATCAATAGTGAAACCTCCATTCAATAATATTTCGTCATTTCCAGAACGTGAATTATGATTTAAATATAAATCAGCTGCATATGCAAATGCAATTTGATGAATAGCACCTAATGGACCTTTTAAATTTGATTTCAAATTACCCAAAAAACTTTCAAATAAAAAACTTTCGCGGTGTTCACAAGCACCAGAATCTACACATTGTTGAGGTATATGCTGTTGTGTATGCATTGTAATTGTTAATAAACGTGGTGGAAATAACGGTTTAATCTGCACACTTTTGGTTGTTATACATGTTTCATATGTATTAATTAATAATTTAGCATCATCATATGAATCAGGTCCTTGCCAAAAGTCATGAACAAGTCTGACAAATAATACATAAAGCGCCAATGCATAATTCGAATATATTGGTAAATAGTCATACAGTATTGGTATAGATAAATACATAATAAATACTCGTATTTCAGATGCTTTCCAACGATTGACATTACTTAATGAACTTGGACGCCTAAGAATATCATGAATGTATGAAATATGCTTCAATTTTTTATTTATTTCATCAACATTTTCTTGTTTTAAAGAGTCTTGTATAAATAATAAAAACCTTTTTGCATGACATAAAAATATTGTATGCATGCCATCAATAAGAAATGTTGATGGTTCTGTTGTATCAATTAATAATGATATATTTGCTTCTCCTTTAACACCATAATGATCTCGATAACCGTATCTTTGTACATTATAGATATCAT